AGTCCTAGAACCCTTAGCCAGGGCAATAAGGCAAGAAAAAGACATTAAAGGGATCCGCATAGGGAAAGAAGAAGTGAAACTATCCCTTTTTGCAGACGACATGATACTATACCTCCACGATCCCAAAAACTCCATCCCCAAACTTTTAGAAATCATAAGTCACTTCGGCAAAATAGCAGGATACAAAATAAACCCACAAAAATCAGTTGCCTTCCTATACACTGATAACGCACAGGAAGAGAGGGAAATAAAGGGAGCAACCCCATTCACAATAACCTCCCAAAAAATAAAATATTTAGGAATTAACCTAACCAAAGATGTAAAAGAACTATTTAATGAGAACTATAAAAAGTTAAAGAAAGAAATTGCAGAAGACACTAGGAAATGGAAAGACCTCCCATGCTCCTGGATAGGCCGACTTAATATAGTAAAGATGGTGATACTTCCAAAATTAATATACAAATTCAATGCAATTCCTATTAAAATCCCAATGACGTACATCACTGAAATACAGAAAACAGTCCAAAAATTTATATGGAACAACAAAAGACCTAGAATAGCCAAAACAATTCTAGGGGATAAAGACAATATGGGAGGGCTATCCATGCCGAACTTCAAACTCTACTACAGAGCTATAATCACAAAGACAGCATGGTACTGGCACAAAAACAGACCCGAAGACCAATGGAACAGAATAGAAGATCCAGATATAAATCCACAGGCCTACAGCCAGCTGATATTCGACAAAGGAGCCAAAGACATACAATGGAAGAAACACAGCCTCTTCAACCGCTGGTGCTGGGAAAACTGGGCAGCCACATGCAGAAAACTAAAAGTGGACCCCAGCCTATCACCATGCACCAACATCAACTCAAAATGGATTAAAGACCTTAACATTAAACCTGAATCTCTGAAACTACTGCAGGACAGAGTAGGAGAGACACTTGAACTAATAGGCACAGGAAGGAACTTCCTGAACAGAGTCCCAGGGTCACAACAAGTTGGAGAGAGACTCGACAAATGGGACTACCTTAAAATAAAAAGCTTCTGCACAGCTAAATCTATCGCAACTAAGCTAGAAAGACAACCAACTAATTGGGAAAAAATATTTACCAGCAATATATCAGACAAGGGGTTAACATCCTGTATATACAGGGAACTCAAGAAACTAATCCCTCCCAAACCTAACAAACCAATTACTAAATGGGCAAGGGAACTAAAGAGGGACTTCTCAAATGAAGAAATAAAAATGGCAAAGAAACACATGAGGAAATGTTCATCATCCCTGGTGGTGAAGGAAATGCAAATAAAGACAACCCTGAGATACCACCTTACCCCAGTCAGAATGTCCCACATCCACAAATCAGCCAACGACAAATGCTGGAGGGGATGTGGAGAAAGAGGAACCCTATTACACTGCTGGTGGGAATGTACACTTATACAACCACTTTGGAAAGCAGTCTGGAGGGTCCTTAGAAAGCTAAAGATTGACCTCCCTTACGACCCAGTCATACCACTTCTAGGCATCTACCCTGAACAACAGGAACCAATATACAAGGACACGTGCACCTCCATGTTTATTGCAGCACTGTTCGCAATAGCTAGGATATGGAAACAACCTAGGTGCCCCACCACAGATGAATGGATCCAAAAATTGTGGTATCTATACACAATGGAATATTATGCAGCCATTAGAAATGACAAAATAATGGCATTTGCAGGGAAATGGATGGAGCTAGAAGGAATCATGTTGAGCGAGGTAAGCCAAGAACGAAGAGACAAACGGTACATGGTCTCCCTCATAAGTGGATGCTAAATCCAAAAGGTTAGTGATACGACAAAACTAACAGGACTTAAGAAACAAAGAACTCCCGCTCATCTGGTTGAACCACTACTAAATATCCTCATGCTGCTGATCACAAATATGGTATATAACATGTGAACACTGTTATATATTACAGACTGTGGTAGACAATTTGCTCCAGGGAAGTTAGAATGAACTTGTGACTTTGAAATTATGTAATCATTTAATCACAATCAAAAAAAAAAAAAAAAAAGAACCTCGGGGAAGGGAGGGAGGGAGGGGATGGTAGGGGGAAAACAATGGAGGGGGTAACAATGTTCAAGAGGAAGTGTACTCATAACCTCACTCATGTAACTGTGACCCTCTGTATAGTAGCTTTACAATAAAAAAATAAAATAAAAAAAAAAAAAAAAAAAAAAAAAAAAAAAGTCAGGCTTCTGGACTAGGGACCCAGTGCTGATGCTTTTCTTAGGAACTAATCTGGTCAGGTGATTCCTCTTGGGGAGAAAGCAGAGGTGAAGCCTCCTCCCAAAGGTGACCTGGTGGCCTCACTTCTCAGCCCAGCCCACTGTGTTCTCCACACCCAAGTAGACAGGGTGTGAAGCAGGCCTGCAACCTTCCTGCTTGTCCAGTAGGAGACCCAGTAGCTTCCACAACCAGAGCCTTGCTGGGCTCAGCACAACCTTGACCCTGCCACCAGAATGGGGGTAGGGTGGGGAAGGGAAGGATGGAAAAAAGGAAGGGCGGCTCAGAGGATGGGGATTTCTAGGCTATGAATACACCCTTATTCACTCAATAGCACCTTTGGGAGCCAAGTAGTCCAGGAGAAGTTGAGGCCCAATGTCACAAAAGGGTCAGGTATCTTTCTTGGGGAGGGGCCTGGAGAGAAAAGAGAGGTTTGAGTTAAGCTTGAAAGTATAGTAAGGCAATGCTGGTGGCTCACATCTGTTAGCTACTCAGGAGGCTGAGAACTAAGGATCTCAGTTCAAAGCCAGGAAAGTCCCAGGCGGTTAGAAAATAAGCTACTCAGAAAAAGCCCTAAGTGGCCCTGTGGCTCAAGTGGTAGAGTGCTAGTTTTGAGCAAAAGAAGCTCAGGAACAGTGCCCAGAATCTGAGTTCAAGCTGGAGGAGGAAGAGGAGGAGGAGGAAGAGGACGTAGAGGAGAAGGGGGGAGGAGGAGGGAGAGGAGGCGTGCATGCTCAAGGCTAGCACTCTACCACTGGAGCCACAGCTCCACTTCTGGCTTTTTGGTGGATAATTGGAGATACGAGACTTACTGACTTTCCTGCCTAGGCTGACTTTGAACCTTAATCCTCAGATCTCAGCCTCTTGAGTAGTTAGGATTAGTTATGTGCCACTAGCACCTGGCTGATACTCTACTTAAAAATGTTTTTATTCTGTATATATTCAGTGTATAGCCCAGGATAGTCTTGAACTCACAATCCTCTTGCCTCAGCCTCCCAAGTGGCAGGATTCCAGGCATGTAATCCACACTGCTGTGGCTACTAATATTGCTAGTATATTCTTGGAAACACCACCCCACTCCCAGCCAGTTTTCTGTGGCTTCTAGTCTTTAGAAATCAAAAACCAGGGTGATGGGAAGGTGGCTCAGTGGTAGAGCGCTTGCCTTGCATGCATGAGGCCCTGGGTTCAATTCCTCAGCACCACATAAGCAAAAAGAAAAAAGCCAGAAGTGGTGCTGTGGCTCAAGTGGTAGAGCGCTACCAGAGAAGCTCAGGGACAGTGCCCAGGCCCTGAGTCCAAGCCCAGGATTGGCAAAAAAAACAAAAACAAAAACAGAAGGAACCTTAGAGATCATACCTTCATTTTATAGAAAGAGGAGGAGTCTTAGAGAGAGGAAGCAACTGACCTAAGTTCACACTCTTCTGGGGAGGAGCCTGAGGGGTCCACTCTGCTGTAAGAGGTTTGCACCAGGACAATGAATGCAAAGCTGCAGTTCTCAAGAGCCATGCTTTGCTGCCATCTAATGTTTGTCTTAAATCATTGCACCCTGTAGGGAGGAAAAACTAGTTGCTACCAAGAAATTTATTGGCAAGGGAGTTTCTCCTGGGTTCCCAATCCTAATAAAGCGTTTGCTAGCCAGTGTATGCTCCCACCTGTAATCCTAGCACTTGGGAGGTGGAGGCAAGAGGAGCATGAGTTCGAGGTCAGCCTGGGTTTACGTAGTGAGTTCCTGCCAATCAGATAGAAGTGGCCCTGTGGCTCAAGTGATAGAGTGCTAGCCTTGAGCTGAAGAGCTGAGGGACAGCGCCCAAGCCCAGAGTTCAAGCTCCATGACCAACAAAAATTTAAAAAAAAATTTTTTTTAATCAACAGATAGATAGTTGGGTGCAATAGTTTGAAATTCTAGCTACTCAGCAGATAGTATAGGGAGTGTCATGGTTCAAGATCAATCTGGGCAAAAATTTGCAAGACCTCATCTTAACCAATATAAGTTTAAATAGGATAGCAGTCCATCCTGAGTACAAACTTTTTTTTTTTTTAATGGGGCTGGGAAGGTGGCTCAGTGGTAGAGCGCTTGCCTTGCATACATGGGGCCCTGGGTTCGATTCCTCAACACCACATAGGCAGAAAAAAAGCTGAAGTGGCACTGTGGCTCAAGTGGTAGAGTGCTAGTCTTGAGCCAAAGAAGCTCAAGGCCAGTGCCCAGGCCCTGATTGGGCCCAGGAGTGGCAAAAAAAATAATAATAATACAGTTAAAAAATTAAAACTAGCTCAAGCACAAAGGACTAGAGCCATGGCTTTAGTGGTAGAGTACTCCCTCCTCCCCTCCCCGCCCCCCACTTGCAGATAAAAAAGCATTAACTGAGTCCCATCTTTCATTCTGTACAATATCCCTACAAATAAGCAAATGTATTCCCATTGACAGATAATGAATGAAGACAGAGATGTTAGGCAATTTATCTGGAGTCACACAGCTCCTAGAATTAGAATAAGGTGGCAATTTGGCCTTACGGTTTGATTACCCACAAAACTAGATCCTCCATCTCAGCCTCCTGAGAGCTAGGAATACAGGCATGAACCCCTAGCCCCCAGCTCAGGATCAGATTTTAACAGTATCTTTTGATTTTTAGATCTGATTCTATCTAATAGCAAAATAAAGCTCTGCAAGAATGTTTTAGGAATTCACATTTACACTAGGATATAAAATTCAATAAAAAACATTCAAGACAAATCATTATAAGAATCATTTATTTTAGAATAATGATTTCAACTGAATACATTTAGACATGGTAATATTTGACACAAAAAGTAGCTGTATCAGAATGGGTATCAGAAAAATAGTAACACATCTTATACACAGTAACTAGAAAATAGGTTTGTCTGATCATTTCAGTGTTACAAATCCTGAGGATGTTATTTACTGAACAAGTTAGGTCCTACCTTGTAATTAAAACTTGTTTGGAAATAATCTTTTATAAAATACTTTGAGGTACAAATCACCTATGTATTAAACATGAGTCTTTTACATTTTGCAAAGGTAAAACAAATATAACAAGTACAGTTCAGTGGCTCTTAAAGCAGCTATCAGTCAGGCTCAAGAACACATTGTTCCACGATTTCCCGTAAGTTGGGGTTCTCCATTGCAGCTGCCACCCGCTCTTTGTCGTTTATCTGCTTGTTGACTATGAAACACAAAGACAAAAGTTAGCAGAATTATGTCACTAGGCAGCACCAAACAATGTATTAGCCTGCTAAAGAGCTTAGCTGAGCACCAGTGTCTCATGACTGCAATCCTAGCTACACAGGAGGCTGCGATCTGAGGATCAAGGTTTAAAGCTATCCTGGGCAGGAAAGTCTGTGAGAGTCTTGTCTCCAATTAGCCACCAAAAAGGCTAGAAGTGGCGCTATGGCTCAAGTGGTAGACAGCCAGCTTTGAACAAAAAAAAACTCAGGGACAGCACCCTGGCCCTGAGTTCAAGCTCCAGGACTGGAACCGAAAAAAGTGGGGGGAGAGGAAGAGACAGAGGAGGAGAGAGAGAGGGGGCCAAGGAGAGGGAGGGGAGACGGGTGAGGAAAAGGAGAGGGGAGAGGGAGGAAGAGAGTAGAGAAAGGGAAAGAGGGAGAAGGGGGGTAGAGGCAGGGAGAGAGAGCTTGAGAACTTAAAAGCTGTTGGGACCTAATTACTAACAATGCAATCCCCAAAGCCTGAAGGAAGACTTGAAGAGAAAAATATTTCCACAACCATTTTAATTTCTCTTTGCAGTTGATGTTCAAATGTTTTTTGTTGTTGTTGTTTGTTTGTTTTGGTGACTTATAGGGCTTGAACCTTAGGCTTTGATGCTGTCCCTCAGCTCTTCAGCTCAAGGCTAGCGCTCTACCACCTGAGCCACAGCGCCACTTCTGGTTTTCTGGTGGTTTATTGGAGATAAAAGTCTCACAGACTTTCCTGCCCAGGCTGGCTTTGAACCATGATCCTCAGAGCTCAGCTTCCTGAGTAGCTAGGATGACAGGTGTGAGCCACCAGCGCCCAGTCCAAATATGTATTTCTATACAGTTACACTTGAGTAAAGTTTGAAAACAGCATTGGCATTTTGTTTTTGTATTTATTTTGTTTTCACTTAAGCCTAATTTTTTTTTTTTGGCTTAGCTTTTTTGCTCAAGGCTGGGGCTCTATCATTTGAATCAAACCTTCACTTCTGGCTTTTGGCTGGTTAATTGGAGATAAAGAGTCTCACCGTGTTTTCTGCCCAGACTGCCTCTGAACCAAAGATCCTCAGACCTCAGCCTCCTGAGTAGCTAGGATTACAGGAGTGAGCCACCAGTGCTTGGCATATTATTTAAAGTGTAATTATGAGATCAAAGGATATTAAGTATGGTATGGTTTGATTTACACAACTGAATTATTCTCAGAATTACTTACAAATTTATATCATCAACAAAAACGTGACCTATCAGTTTGCCAACAACAGCGGATATTATACTAAAAACAAGAGCAGGGGCTGGGAATGTGGCTTAGTTTTAGAGTGCTTGCCCAGCATGTATGAAGCCCTGGGTTCGATTCCTCAGTACCACATAAAACAGAAAAAGCCAGAAGTGGTACTGTGGCTCAAGTGATAAGAGTACTAGCCTTGAGCAAAAAGAAGCTCAGAGACAGTGCTGAGTTCAAGCCCTACTACTGGCAAAAAAAAAAAAAAAAAGGCTGAAGGTTGCATTTTCTTTTCTTTTTTTTTTTTTTTTTTGGGGGGGGGGGGAGGTCTGGTTGTGGGGCCTGAACTCTAGGCCTGGGCGCTGTCCCTCAGCTCTTCAGCTCAAGGCTAGCGCTCTACCACTTGAGCCACAGCGCCACTTCTGGCTTTTTTCTTTTTGCTTATGTGGTGCTGAGGAATTGAACCCAGGGCTTCAGGCATGCAAGGCAAGCGCTCTACCACTGAGCCACCTTCCGAGCCCTGTAGGTTGCATTTTCTTGATAAATTCTGATAGAACATTTCCATGTTTATTAGTTCTTTTTTTTTTAGTTGTTCTTGTGTGAATTTTCTGTTCATATTTCTTCCTATCAATCTATTATGTCATTTTTTTTGTGTTTGTATCGATACTGGGACTTGAACTCAGAGCCTTATGCTGTTGCTTGGTTTTTTTACTCAAGGTTAGCACTCTACCACTTTGAGTCACAGCGCCACTTCCAGTTTTCTGGTGGTTAATTGGAGATCAGAGTCTTGCAGACTTTCCTGCCCAGACTAGCTTTGAACCACATCCTCAGATCTCAGCCTCCTGAGTAATTAGGATTACAGGTGTGGGCACTGGTGCCAGGCTACAACATGCATTTTAAATGTATTTCTCATTATTTGTGTTCATCCTTTGTACAAAATCCTGTTTGTAATGTAACATGACAGATTAGGTGGCACAGCCCACCTCTGAGATTTTTACTTTGTATTTTTTATTACTGGGGTTTGAACTCAGAGCCTTTATCATCAAGCCACAGCATTGGGGGGGGGGGGGGTGGGGGTGGCGGGGTACTGGGGGGTTAAACTCAGGGCTTTGTGCTTTCATTTGACTTTTTTGCTCAAGGCTGGTATTGTGCCACTTAAGCAACACCTCTACTTCCTCTGTGATTTTTATGTTTTTATTTTTATTTTAATAAGTTTTTTTTTTTATTGTGAAAATACCATACAGAAGGGCTAAATTACATGAGCAAGGTAATAAGTACATTTCTTATCAAGCATTGTTGCTTCCTCCTTTGTTTTTCAAACCCTACCATCCCTGCCCACCCATCTCCACGACTATACTCCCCCCTCTGTGATTTTTAAATGGTTAATTTCACTCAGCAGGCCAGAGGTCTTATAAAAAGGTTCTTTTTGTGTGTGTGTGCTTATTATGGGGCTTTTGGTCAGGGCTTGAGTACTGTTGCTGTGTATATTTTTTCTCAAGGCTAGCACGCTACCACTTGAGTGATAGCTCCAGTTTCAGACTTTTGGGGGTTAATTAGATATCAGAGTCTCAGGGACTTGTGATCCTCAGATCTCAGCTTCTTGAGTTGCTCCCTGCTAAAAAAAGGTTCTTCACTCCCACTGTAACTTGTTCGCTCAGAGAGACAGCTCCAACCCAAGATGTCCTAGGACTTTACTTGCTAGCCCTGCAATTTCAAATTCAAGTACACACTCTTTAACCTGCTACGAAAGAGCAGAGCTTCTTCACAGATAGGTAGCCTCTGGCCTGAACCAGTCAGTACTGGTAGACTCTAGTTCACCCAGAGTCCCAGTGAAATACCTTCCCTCATTGCCTTTTTTCTCTGCCTGTGAAGGAAGAGCTAATAACTAATGGCTCCCCAATCTTCACAAGTGAGGTCTGAGGCTGACAGAATAACCTACTAGCGTAAGCTGTTTGTAATATTTGATTCACTTACTGTCTTCCTCTGTTGAGTGGGTTCCTTCAGAAATGTAGATTTCCAACTGGGAAGGAAAAACAGTAAGAAACAAAACATTAGAGCAAGGGCTGGGACATGGCTCAGGTGATAGAGTACCTGCTTAGAAATCACAAGGCACATAGTTCATACCTCAGTATTGTAAAACAAAACAAAAACATGAGGAATTCTAAAATAACAAAGTGAAGTAGAAGATCCAGTAGAAGATCCAGTGGACTCAAGAATCTAGAGAAGCTGAGCACCTGTGGCTCATGCCAGTAATCCTAGCTACTCAGGAGGTTGAGATCTGAGGACTGGGGTTCAAAGCCAGCCCGGGCAGAAAAGTCTGTGAGACTTATCTCCAATTAACTACCAAATAGCCATAAGTAGAGCTATGGCTCAAACAATAGAGCACAAAAGCTCAGGGAGAACACTCAGCCCCTGAGTTCAATCCCAGGATCAGCACCTAAATCAATCAATCCATCTAGGGATCGGCTGGTTGCTGGCAGCTCAAGCTTTCAATTCTAGCTACTCAGAAGGCTGAGATATGAGGATCACTGTAATAACCCAACCTAGGCAGACAAATTCAAGGAACTATTATCGCCAACTAACCAGCAAAAAGCTATTTAGCATGGTGAAAGCGGTAGAGCGCCAGCCTTGAGAAAAACAAACAACAAAAGACCTAGGCAAGATCATGAGGCCCGAGATTCGATCCCAGTAGCAGAATCTAAAGATGAGAATCGAGATCTTATTTCTAATAGCTAAGGCTTAGTAAAAATCACTCCCGTACTTCGTGATAACAAGTACTGAAGGGAAAAGTATTTTGGTTAACTGGGGAAGGCCTGCAGGAGGCATTTGCATCAAACTCTTTTTTTTTTTTCTTTCTTGTGCTGGTATTGAAGCTTGAACTCAGGGCTTTTGGTTCTTACTGGGCTTTTTGGCCTCAGGCTGGTGCTCTGTCATTTGAAAAACAACTTCACTTTTAGCTTTTGGGGGGCTAATTAGATGGTAGTCTACAGATTTATCTGCCCGGGCTAGCTTCAAACCTCAATTCTCAGATCTCAGGCTTCTAGGGGTTAGGATTATAGGCTTGAGCCGCTAGCACTTTCCCACAGAATTCTTTTTTGTTGTGGGGCTTGAACTCTGGGCTTGGGCACTGTCTCTTAACTCTTCAGCTCAAGACGAGCGCTCTACTGCTTGAGCCACAGTGCCACTTTTGGTTTTCTAGTGGTTTATTGGAGATAAGAGTCTCACGGAGGGGCTGGGAAGGTGGCTCAGTGGTAGAGTGCTTGCCTTGCATTCATGAGGCCCTGGGTTCGATTCCTCAGCACCACATAAGCAGAAAAAGCTGGAAGTGGTGCTGTGGCTCAAGTGGTAGAGCACTAGCCCTGAGCTGAAGAGCTGAGGGACAATGCCCAGGCCCAGAGTTCAGGCACCATGACTGGCCAAAAAAAAAAAAAAAAGTCTCATGGACTTTCCTGCCTGGGCTGGCTTTGAACCACAATCCTCAGATCTCAGTCTCCTGAGTAGCTAGGATTATAGGCATGAGTCATTGGTACCCAGCCCATGGAATTTCTTTATGATGACATGTACATATAATTTTGTAAGAATGAGACATTATAAGTGTTGTTTTACTTTTCCCTGCACTTGACTTCTTTCCAAATCACTGTGTACTACTCTTCCTACCCTATCCCCAGGAAAGCACATTAATGATCTAGTGTAGCTCCTTCCACATTTTCTCTATACTCACATACTCCAAATGTACTTTACACATACTCATACACACACACTGAATTTCTTGTTTTGCAAAAATGAGTCACAACACACAGTTTCAATATTCTCTTTTTCTCATTCTCCTTTAACTTGCCCAATTTATTTTCAAGTATAATGTTAGTTAAGCTACTCCTTCTGGCCTTGCTGCAGCCCTACAGATTACCCAGTCTCCAAAAACAAGAGCTTTCGACAAAAACCCACTTTCACAAATCCAGTGGCTAAGAAAGCATATTATATGAAAGAAACATTTATATTTGAGAATACTAGGACCATGAGTATAAACCTTCATTAATATATTCAACATGCATTTATTGAGCTCCTACTATGTAAAATCACAATAGAAAACATTCAATTGGATCATATAGAAACTCAGACTTCAAGAAGCTGACAAACCAAGAAGGAAGATGAAAAATATACTTGGAGTTAGAACATACCAGGCACCAATGGCTCTTGCCTGCAATCCTAGCTACTCAGAAAACTTAAGATCTGATGATTGCAGTGTCAAGTCCACGAGACTCAGCTCAAATTAACCACCACAAAGCCAGAACTGGAGCTGTGGCTCAAGTAGAGCACTAGACTTGAGCAAAAGAGCTCAGGGCCAACACCCAGGCCCTAAGTTCAAGCCCCACAAGCACCACCAAACCTCCCCACTCCCCCCCAAAAAAACAACGTTGTACTCTAAAAGATATCATCAAGAAAGTGAAAAGACAACCCACAAAATGAGAACAAAAATTTGCTGATCATGTATCTGACAAGGAAATTGTTTTTAGAATAAAGAACCAGGAAATAGAGGTATGGCTCAAATGACTCAAATGTCAGTCCTGAGTGAGAAAGTCAAGCAAGAACATGAGACCCTTAGTTCAAGCCCAGCGCCCTCGCAGGGACAAGTGTAGCTTTGTGGTAGGACACAGGGTGAGCATGTGGAGGCTCTGAATCAAACCCCAGCACCAGTAAAATTAACTAAAAAATTGAAAATTGGGCAAAGGATGTGGGCAGCTCTGCAGAGAAGATGTATAAATGGCCAAAAAACACATGAAAAGATGGTCAACACGATTAGCTGCCAGAGATTGCAAATCAAAACCACAATGCAACATCACTTCATGCCCACAAGCATGACTATAAGCACAAACACGGAGTAGCTAGATGCCAATGGCTCAAGCCAGTAATCCCAGCTGCTGAGATCTGAGGATCATGGCTCAAAGCCAGCCAGGGAAGGAAAGTCCGTGAGACTCTTATCTCCAATTAATCACCAGAAAACCAGAAGTGGCGCTGCCGCTCAAGTGGTAGAGTGCTCACCTTGGGCTGAAGAACTGAATTACATGCCCAGGCCCAGAGTTCAAGCCCCACAACCACTAAATAAATAAATAAATAAATAGCTAAGCAAGAGTACAAGGCCTTGAGAGTTCAAGCCCAGTACAAGCATGTGCATACACACACACACACACACACACACACACACAAGGAATGAAGCACTGGCATGTATTAGCTAAAACATGAATGCTTAAGACATTATTCTAAGTCATAGCCAGACACGAAAGACCACATAATGTAAAACTGTATTTAAATAAAATGTCCATAATTGGCAAATTTAGAGATAAAATAGGTGAGGAGTAACTGTTACCTGACTGCTTTCCTCCCTCATTTTTGTTTTTGTCAGTTGTTGGTCTTAAACTCCAGGCCTGGGAGTTGTTCCTGAGCTCTTCTGTTCAAGGCTAGAACTCTACCACTTTGAGTCATAGCACTACCTCCAGTTTTCTGGTGATTAATTGGAGAAAAAAAATCTCATGGATTTTCCTTCACAGGCTGGTTTTTTTTTTTTGTTACTGTTGTTGGTCATGGGGCTTGAACTCTGGGCCTGAGCACTGTTCCTCAGCTCTTCAGCTCAAGGTGAGTGCTCTACCACTTGAGCCACAGCACCACTTCCGGTTTTCTGGTAGTTTATTGGAGATAAGACTCTCCCGGACTTCCTGCCTTGACTAGCTTTGAACGATGATCCTCAGATATCAGCCTCCTAGGTATCTAGGTATGAACCGCTAGCTCCTGGCCCCTCCCTCCTTCTCTCCTGATCTCCCTTCCTTCCTTTTCTTCTCACTTCCTCCCTCCCTTTCTCCCTTTTATCCTCCTGCTCCCCCCTCTCATCATCTTCATCTTTTGTTGTTGTTGTTGGTCGTGGGACTTGAACTCTTGGCCTGGGCGCTGTCCTTCAGCTCAAGGCTAGCACTCTTTCACTTGAGCCACAGCGCCACTTCCAGTTTCCTGGTGGTTTATTGGAGATAAGAGTCCCTTGGACTTTCTTGTCTGGGCTGGCTTTAAACCTTGATCCTCAGATCTCAGCTTCCTGAGTAGCTAGGATTATAGGCATGAGTCACTGGTACCCGGCCCTTTCTTTTTTTTTTTCTTTTTTGCCGGTTGTGGGGCCTGAACTCTGGGTCTAGGCACTGTCCCTCAGTTCTTCAGCTCAAGGCTAGTAGGCTAGTACTCTAGCCACAGTGCCACTTCCGGTTTTTTTTCTGTTTATATGGTGCTGAGGAATCGAACCCAGGGCCTCGTGCATGCAAGGCAAACACTCTACCACTGAGCCACCTTCCCAGCCCCAAATAATCTTTTTTTTTTTTTTTTTGGTCAGTCGTGGGGCTTGAACTCTGGGCCTGGGCGCTGTCACTCAGCTCTTCATTTCAAGCAAGCGCTCTACCACTTGAGCCACAGTGCCACTTCCCCTTTCTTATTTTTGTAACCCAGGCTGGTCTCAAACTCAATCCTTCTGTCCCAGCCTCCCAAGTGCTAAGATCAAAGGCATGCACTACCATGCCTGCCTAGGTACAGGATTTCTTTGAGGGATGTAGGGTGTGAAAACGTTCTAAAACTAATTATTGTCATGCCTGTACAACTCTGTGTATACATTAGAAATTAATGGAAGTGACGCTGGGCTCAAAGTGGTAAACAGCTAGCCTTGAGCAAAACAGCTCAGGGATTGCCCAGGTACTGAGTTCCCAGAACAGATTCCGCCCCCCCCCCTCACCCCCCCAAAAAAGAAAGATGCATTGTTTATGGGGCTAGGAATGTGGCTTAGTGGTAGAGTGCTTGCCTAGCATGCATGAAGCCCTGGGTTTGATTCCGCAGTACCACATACACAGAAAAAGTAGGAAGTGGTGCTGTGGCTCAAGTGGCAAAGTGCTAGCCTTGAGCAAAAGAAACTCAGGGACAGTGCCCAGTCCCTGAGTTCAAGCCTGAGGATTGGCAAAAAAAAAAAAAAGAAAGAAAGAAAGAGGCTGGGAAGGTGGCTCAGCGGTAGAGTGCTTGCCTTGTATGCATAAGGCCCTGGGTTCGATTCCTCAGCACCATAGAAGCAGAAAAAGCCGGAAGTGGCACTGTGGCTCAAGTGGTAGAGCACTAGCCTTGACCTGAAGAGCTGAAGGACAGCACCCAGGCCCAGAGTTCAGGCCCCATGACCGACAAAAAAAAAAAAAGAAAAAAGAAATAAATTACTGAGTGGTATAGTTTAAATATCTGAATTATATATAATGTGACAGATCTCAACAGTGCAGTTAGAAAAGACAACCGAATAGGTTAGGATGTACTTCCGTGCTGGAGCACTGGGCTAGCTTGCATGTGGCTCTGGGTTTGAGATAATAAAACATCTCTTACCTTGTGTTTAAATGGCAAACACCGCTGAAGTTTTACTCTTAAGCACAACCCTGTGGAGGAAAAACAAAACCAACCTCCAATTATCTCTTTATCTCTCCTAATTGCTTAATTGGTTCCTGAGAAAGCACACAGCTGTGTCTGTGTCCAGAGGGAATATAAGTAGTTGACACAGCTTTGCTCAATCCAGTCTAGGTCTCCTTTGAGGCCTGGTACTATGCTAGGAAATGTCATCCGTCATTTTACATATTCCTCATAACTCAAATGATCTAGGTATTATTAACCCCACTTTACAGACAATGAGATCAGTGTCATAGTGTAACCTATCCCAAGGCTACTCAGGTAGTAAAATAGTAGAGATAGGATTGGAACCCAGAAATACCAAAAAAGCCCGGCCTTTCCTGCTTCATCAACTGACCTTGAAGCAAGGGGAAATTAATTTACTAACCTTTACTGAATGGCCACAAGAGGACAAGATGTGCCATTTTATTGTTTTTTGTCAGTCATGGGGCTTGAACTCTGGGCCTGGACGCTGTCCCTCAGCTCTTCCGCTCAAGGTGAGTGCTCTTCAACTTGAACCACAGTGTCACCTCCTAGATGTGCCATTTTAAAAGAGCCACATAGCTGGGCATTTGTGACTCATTCCTGTAATCCTAGTCACCCAGGAGTCTGTGATCTGAGGATTGTGGTTTGAAGCTAGCCCAGGAAAGTCTGTAAGACTCCTATTTCGAATAAATAACTCAGAAAACGCTGGCAGTGGAGCTGTGGCACAAGTGTTAGCGTGCTAGCAAAAGAAGCTCAGGGACAGCACCCAGGGCCAGAGTTCAAGCCCCAGAACTGGCAAAAAAATAAAAATAAAAAGAGCCTCAGGTGGGGAATGTGGCTTAGAGGTACAGTGCTTGCTTAACATGCATGAAGCCCTGGGTTTGATTCCTCATTACCACATAAACAGAAAAAGCCAGAAGTGGTGTTGTGGCAAGTTAGTCTTGAGCAAAAGAAGCTCAGGGACAGTGTCCAGGCCTGGAGTTCAAGCCCTAGAACTGGCAAAAAAAAAAAAAAAAAAGACCCTCATGGCTAGGCACCAGTGGCTCACACCTGTAATCCTAGCTATTCAAGGGCTGAGATCTGAGGATCATGGTTCAAAGCCAGCCCAGTAACCATGGCCACATGTACCTAAAAAAAGTAATGTGGTATAACTAGGGGAGACACACATTTGGAGTCAGGAGACTTGGATTTGAATCTCAAATTCACTATTTCTCAGCTTGACTCTAAGCAGCTCAATTAAACTTTGTCCTTCACTGGAGCTGGGAAGGTGGCTCAGTGGTAGAGTGCTTGCCTTGCATGCATGAGGCCCTGGGTTGGACTCCTCAGTACCACATAAGCAGAAAAAGCCGGAAGTGTTGCTGTGGCTTAAGTGGTAGAGCGCTAGCCTTGACCTGAAGAGCTGACAGTACCCAGGCCCAGAGTTCAGTCCCATGACCAACAAAAAACAAACAAAAAAACCCCAAACAGCTACCAAATGAAGGCAAGAGGTTTTTCTGTTTTGTTAGTTTGTTTTGTGTTTTGGTGGTGGTCTTGGGCTTTGAACTCAAGGCCTGAGTACTATCCCTGAGCTTTTTTGCTCAAGGCTGGCACTCTACCACTTGAGCCACAGCTCTACCTTCTAGCTGGGCTAGCTTTAAACCTCAATCCTCAGATATCAGCCTCCTGTGTAGCTAGGATTACAGACATGAGCCAATAGCACCCAATGACAAGAGTATTTCAACTCTCTACAGGCTAATCCTGAGGACTACAATAAATGATTACATTAAGACACTCTGTAAATCATAAAGTGGTAGATGATAAAGCTCCCTTTTTGAGATCAGTATCACACTTATAATTAAGAATATACACAAACAACCTTACCAATAAGAGTTGCCAAAGAGCAATGAGGTACTGTTGGTGTGAACCTGATAATAACCAGATAGTCTTCTTCATTTATCTCCTGAACCTCCACACAACTCTCCGTTACCACTTCCAGTTCTTCTAAAGTATTGGGCTTTTCTGGATCCCGGATAGTTCGAATCAAATCTAAAGGGTCATCAGAGACAAAGTATTACATTACAATATGGGTATTCTGCCTGGAGCCTGTGGCTCACAACTATAATCCTAGGTACTTGGGAGGCTGAGATCTGAGGATTGTGGTTCAAAGCCAGCCTAGACAGAAAAGTCCATGAGACTCTTACTTCTAATTAACCAGCACTCAGCCAGAAGTGGAGGTGTAGCTCAAATGGTAGAATACCAGCCTTGAGTGAAAAAGCAAAATTGGGAGCTGAGGACAAGATTTCCTAAGCCAGGTGCCAGTGGCTCATGCCTGTAATCCTTGCTATTCAGGAGGTTGAGATCTGAGAAAAGAAAGACTATGAGACTCTTACCTCCAATTAACCACCAGAAAACTAGAAGTGGAGCTGTGGCTCAAAGTGGTAGAGCTAGTGCTAGCCTTGAGAAAAAGACCTCAGATACAGTACCTGGGCCCTGAATTCAAGCCCCACAACTGACCAAAAAATAAATAAATAAATAGTTTATTTTAAAAATTCCTTTTCAGCCAGGTGCCGGTGGCTCATGCCTATAATCTTAGCTACTCAGGAGGCTGAGATCTGAGAATTTTGGTTCAAAGCCAACCCCAGGCAGGAAAGTCTGTGAGACTCTTACCTCCAATAAACCATAAGAAAACCAAAAGTAGTGCTATGACTTAAGTGGTAGAGTGCTAACCTTGAGCTGAAGAGCTCAGAGACAGCGCCCAGGCTCAGAGTTCAAGCCCCACATGGCCAAAAAAAAAAATTCCGAGGCTGGGAACATTGCTCAGCAGTAGAGTGCTTGCCTCCCATGCATGAGGCCCTGGGTTTGATTCCTCAGCATCACATAAACAGAAAAGGCGGGAAGTGGCACTGTGGCTCAAGTGGTAGAGTGCTAGCCTTTAGCTGAAGAGCTCAGGGAGAGCACCCAGGCCTAGAGTTCTAGCCCCACGACTGAAAAAAACAAAACAAAATTCCTTCTCTATAACTATAGAAAAGCATGAAGAGGAAAATGCTAAGAGAAACACAGAATCAGAAAGAAAGAGAAGAATTTTATGTAGGATAGGCTTCATGTTCTCAAGCCTGAGTTTTTTGTTCTATTTATAGAACTGAAATATAGCTATGAAAAAACAAGTCAATAAAACTCTATCTTCGGGGCTGGGAAGGTGGCTCAGTGGTAGAGCGCTTGCCTTGCATGCCTGAGGCCCTGGGTTCGATTCCTCAGCGCCACATAAGCACAAAGAAAAAAAAAAACGGAAGTGGCGCTGTGGTTCAAGTGGTAGAGTGCTAGCCTTGAGCTGAAGAGCTGAGGGACAGCGCCCAGGCCCAGAGTTCAGGCCCCACGACCGGACCCAAAAAAAAAAAAACAAAAAAAAAACCTCTATCTTCTCGCAAGCTGTCTCATGAACTTACTATTTGAATAGAAATGGGATTTGAAAATATAGGCAGGAAAAAGGATAAAGCTTCTTTTTCATGGAACTGTGGGATTGAGAGATTTAGGAAAATGGGGCTTTTTGAAAAGGAGTTCTCTGCCTCTTATCCTAGGCCTTGTCCCTGCAGAATTCTTATAGAAGTGGTATTATTTTTGTTGTCTGCCACTAAGCTCTGAAACTAAATCTCACTTCTTATTAAGCTTCTCAGCTTTTCTAGTAATTTGAGAAGTTTACATTTCTTTCTTTCAAAAAAAAAAAAAAAAAAGAGCTGGGTGCCAGTGGCTCACGCCTGTAATCCTAGCTGTTCAGGAGGATGAGATCTGAGGATCACCGTTCAAAGCCAGCCCAGGCAGGAAAGTCTGTGAGACTCTTATCTCCAATTAACCACTCAGAAAACTGGAAGTGATGCAGTGGCTCAAGTGGTAGAGCACTAGCCTTGAGCTGAAGAACTGAGGGGCAGTGCCCAGGCCCAGAGTTCAAGCCCCATGACCAACCAAAAAAAAAAAAAAAAAGTCAGGTGCCAGTGGCTATCACTAGTAATCTTAGCTACTCAGAGGCTGAGATCTGGGAATCATGGTTTGAAGCCAGCCAAAGCAGTAAAGTCCATGAGACTCTTATCTCTAATCAACCACCAAAAAGCTAGAAGTGGAGCTTTAGCTCAAGTGGTAGAGTACTAGTCACCCAGGCCCTGAGTTCAAGCCCCAGGACCAGCATACACACACACACACACACACACACACACACACACACTCTCTCTCTCTCTCTCTCTCTCTCTCTCTCTGTTGCTTTTTTAAGTGAGTCCTCAAACTTCAAAAAAAAAAAAGCACTGTTTTTTAAGATTCCTCATTTATATTTAAGCTTCAGATGTAGTGCACACCTATAATCGTAGTTTCTTGGAAGGTAGAGGTGAAGATGGAGATTGGGAGGATTATAGCCTTGAATCTAGCTCAAGCAAAAAGTTACTAAAACCATTTCTCAACAAATAAGCTGGGTGTGTGGCAAACCTATAATCCCAGCAATTTATAAAAACAAAACACATAGGTAGAAGGAATGTAGTCAGGGTGGGCCCCAAGCAAAAACATGAGATACTATCTGAAAAATAACAAAAGGCAAAAAGAGCTGAGAGTGTGGCTCAAATGGTAGAATTCCTATCTACCAAGTGTGAGACAGAGTTCAAAACTCAGGTACTTAAAAAAGAAAGAAAAAGCTTCATATCTAATCCCAAATTACTATCTAAAACAATGTTCAACCAGATCTCCACCTACAACTACAAACCCTACCCTGTTTGCCATTCCATTATTTGTGTGTTAATTTCCTCAACTTAGAATGTCTGCACTTTCTAAACATCCAGGTCCTAATTATTCTCAAAGGCCTAACTCAAGAGACTTCAAAATCTTTTCAGAGCCTGCCAGCCAAAGACTAACTTCTCTTCTTCCTCTGAAGGTCTGTAACTCTTGTTCTAGATCTGCTCATGATCTATGGCAAACCATATTTGCATATATAGGTTCCCACCCCTCTCTCAATTTAGTAATCAGCATCTGAATTCAGGGCTTCCTGTTCACTTTACCACTTGAGTCAATTTCTCAGTCTTTTTGCCCTGGTTATTTTTGAGACAGTCTATTTTTGCTGAGCCCATTTCTGCCCATGACCCTCCTGGTTCCTCTTTCTCCTGAAGCTGGATGGTAGGCACAGGCTTCAAGCTCCACTTGTTCTGTTAGAGGGTGTTTCATGAACTTGGCTGGCTTACAACAGCCATCCTCCCAACCTGCACCTATCAATCTCTACCACTTGGCTTCCTCAATTTAAGTTTGAAGACTAGAATCATCTTTCTCCCAAAGTTGTATCCCCAGTGTCCTGAAGTTCCTAGATAGCAAAGACAAAGGTCTGGCAGGACAGGAATGTGTGGAAATCAACACCCTTGAAATTATCATCAGACTGGTGCTAAGTTCTGCTTCTGCCAAGGGAAAGGTACATTAGATTTAACCCCAAGGTTTTCAACATGCTTGGCTTTCTCTACTGGCCTGAAATCCTTACCCAAATTGTAATCTTATGGTTAGATCACTTACTGTAACAGCCAATCTTTTTAGTTTTCAAAAACAGGTCAAAGGGTATAGTTTAGTTGTAGAGCACAGGGTAGTATATGCAAGGCTCTATATTTGATCGCTAGTCCACAAAATATGAAGTAATACCATATGTGTGAGAGACAGACAGAAGGACAAAGACAGGAAAAGAGAGAGAGAGAATGTAGTGAAAAGTTCATACATTTGGAATCACAAGTTCGGTTTTTGCTAAGCTCCTCACTGACACTGTGATCTGCAGATAGTTGTTCAAGGATCCTAAACCTTTGCTTCTTTATCTGTACAATGAAGATAGTCCCAAGAAATAGAGAATATTTAATACAGAGAGAATATGTGGGGGGAAGGTATGTATACCTATGTAACATTTGACTTGACTATTTGAGACCTTGCTTCCAGGAAGCCCATTTTATTTTATTATTATTATTTTTTTTTTTTTTTTTGGTCGGTCGTGGGGCCTGAACTCTGGGTCTGGGCGCCATCCCTGAGCTCTTCAGCTCAAGGCTAGTGCTCTACCACTTGAGCCACAGCGCCACTTCCGGCTTTTTCTGCTTCTGTGGTGCTGGGAATCGAACCCAGCGCCTCATGCATGCAAGGCAAGCATTCTTACCACTGAGCCACCTTCCCAGCCCATGGAAGCCCCATTTTATCCACTTCCTTATTGACTCTTCTGGGGAAGAGGAGGAGGTGGTGACCTTGGGTTAGTCCTTACTCGGCCCACGACCCAGCCTACCCAGCAGTACCCTGGGCAGTGGCGGGAACTATGGAGGATGCTGGAGAAGCAAGGAGGGTCAAGCTTGGCTTCCTAGGCGATCGGGGAGCCCTCTGTGCCCGAGGACATGGGACAGACAGGGGAATAAAACTGGAAGACTTCCGGACTCAACGTATCCCAGGTTTAGGAAGAGACGGAACTCTAGAAAGTTCTACATTCTGCATGTCTTAGGACACTCCCTGGAGGGAGGGGGGGCGCTTCCCACGATCCCAACCACACCCGGCAAAACCCCAGCGTCCATCCCCCAGCCTGAAAGGGGAGCTCGGGGGACCTGCGCCGCCTCGACTAATAACCACCCAGAGCGGCGGCTGTGGAAGACAATTAATTACCATAAACCTCTAGCGCTTTCTCTTCCATGATCCGGGGCTGCCGGGCAGCTCCCGCCTCAGAGAGGCCTGAGAGCCACAGAACTCGGCTCAGCGTCCAGGAGAGCAGCCCGGACACCCGCTCCATCCTCACGTTCCGCCATCCCTGGCGACTGCCCCAACCGAGCCACCGTCCGTCTCTCAGCAGCAGCGGGCCTCGCGGTTTATCAACTTCCCGATCTTCAAAAATGACTTAGGAGTTGGGGAAAGGGGTTCTGAGGGAAGTCAAGAGGCGGGACTCGACCGAGAAGAACTGGAGGAAAGGAAAAACACCTAGGAAAGGGGAACCACGGGGACTACATGTCCCAGCATGCTTTGCTCGGTTTTCGCGCTACATATTGCATTCTGGGGGTAGCATGGAATGCGTCGGAAGACCTCGAACAGAATTCTGGGGTTTGTAGTCATTTCCCGGAAGGGCACGGGGGGGGGGGGGGGCGGTGGGTGGGGAAATGTTAACGGTCTTGTCCTCCGTCACTTCCTCTCCAGAACGGAAGTGTTGCTGCTCGGAAGGCGTTCTGGGAGGCTCATGGAGGTGGTTCGGCGTGGCTGAGGGGAGGGCCGGACATTTTTTGTTGCTCTGGTCTCCTGCAGACGCCATACAGCTCACCTTTCCGCTACGGGAGATATTTCTACCTTTCGCCTTCAAAGACAATAATGAGAGAGTTTGCCCCGTGCTTGATATGTCCAGTGGTGACACAATGGAGGTAGTCAGCCTTAAAGGATTATCTTATTTGGGGGGGGGGGGTCCGTTGTGAGGCTTGAACTCAGGGCCTGGACGCTGTCCCTGAGCCTCTTTGTGCTCAAGGCTAGGCGCTCTACCACCTGTCAGGGCGCCACTTCCGGTTTTTGATTGGTTAATTGGAGATGAGCCTCCCTGGGACTTTTCTGCACGGGCTGGCTTCGAACCGCAATCCTCAGATCTCAGCCTCCTGAGTAGGAGTACAGGCGTGAACCACCGCCGCCCGTGGTTCTCTGAAACCAAACTTTGGGTGTTGGATGCCAATTTGGAGGTTCATTTTGTTGTTGTTGTTGGTGGTGGTGGTCGTGGGGCTTGAACTCTGGGCCTGGGCACTGCCCCTCAGTTCTTCAGCTGAAGGCGAGTGCTCTGCCATTTGAGCCACAGCGCCACTTCCGGTTTTCTGGTGGCTAATTGGAGATAAGTCTCAGGGACTTTCCTGCCCTGGTCGGCTTTGAACCGTGATCCTCATCACCTCCCTGAGGCCTCCTGCCATCCCTGAGCAGAAGTAATAGGCTTGTATTGTGCCCACAACACAGTTTAGGACTGAACCATGTTGAATTGCTACTTTACATGACCACCTACTTAAATTGCGAACATCTAACGGGAAGGTGGCTCAGTGGTAAAGTGCTTGCCATGCATGCATGAGGCCCTGGGTTTGATTCCTCAGCATCACATAAGCAGAAAAAGCCGGAAGTGGCGCTGTGGCTCAAGTGGTAGAGCACTAGCCTTGAGCTGAAGAGCTGAGGGACAGCGCCCAGACCCAGAGTTCAGGCCCCACGACCGAACAAAACAAAAACCCACAAACCATAGCAAAGTATCAGGCTCACAGTAAATGCTCAGTATATGGTGAGTGAATGGAGGGGATGTTGTCCAAATAAGTGGCCGAACTTTAAAAATAATAATAAAAAGTGGCAGAACTTATTTTGGGGGCGGGGAGGGGAAGGTCCGGTCGTGGGGCCTGAACTCTGGGTCTGGGCGCTGTCCCGCAGCTCTTCAGCTCAAGGCTAGCGCTCTACCACTTGAGCCACAGCACCACTTCCGGCTTTTTTCTTTTTTTGCTTATGTGATGCTGAGGAATCGAACCCAGGGCCTCATGCATGCAAGGAAAGCACTCTACCACTGAGCCACCTTCCCAGCCCCAACAAAACTTAACTGCAGTCTGTTCAGACTTAATGCACTGAGGATTGGGAAGGTGGCTCAGTGGTAGAGCGCTTGCCTTGCAGGCATGAGGCCCTGGGCTCGATTCCTCAGCACCACAGAAGCAGAAAAGGCCGGAAGTGGCCCTGAAGAGCTGAGGGACAACGCCCAAGCCCAGAGTCCAGACCCCACGACCGACCAAAAAAAAGGTATTGAACTGTGTGAGGGCACCGTACTTGGCGCAAATAGATGGCATGTGAAGGTTTGCAAGCGTTTTTAGTCATTTTTTTTTTCTTTTCTGTTGTCGGCCGTGGGGCGTGAACTCCCGAGCTGGCGAGTCCTAAGCTCTTTTGCTCAGGGCTCGCACTTTAGCACTTTGAGCCACAGCAGCTCCACTTTCAGTTTCTGATGGTTAATTGGAGATCAGCATCTCAGGGACTTTGCCTGCCCCGGGGGCTGGCTTCCAACCGTGATCCTCAGCTCTCCAGCCTCCTGAGTAGCTAGGATTACAGGCGTGAGCCACCAGCGCCCCGGCTTCACTCGGTCCTTTCTTCAATCTGTCTGTCAGTAAAAGCTACAAAGCTAGGCACAAAGCTGTAAGGCGGGCAGACTACCTGGGAGGCCCGGAGCTGCCCCCGGACGCGGCTGCTGCCGCTGGCTGCTCCTCTTCCTCCCGCCCCCTACTAGGCGGGGCTAGTGAAACGCGCCGTGTGGAGGTCCGGGCGTCGGATTGGCTGGGCAGCAGCCTACGCCCCGCCCCCCCGCGCGGCGCCCCGCCCCCCGCGCGGCGCCCCGCCCCCCCGCGCGGCGCCCCGCCCCCCGCGCCCCCGCCCCGCCGGTCCCGCAGGGTCGGTCACGGCGCTCGGGCTCCTCGCACAGCCGGGACGCTTTTTGCTCGCGGCGCTATCTCTCCATAAAGTTGTTGTTGCGGCTTCCGCCGCGGGTGGAGGAAGATGGCGTCGGGAGGTGGTGGCTGTAGCGCTTCGGAAAGACTCCCCCCGCCTTTCCCGGGTCTGGATCCGGAGTCGGAGGGGGCCGGCGGGGGGTCCGAGCCCGAAGCTGGGGACAGCGACACCGAGGGGGAGGACATCTTCACCGGCGCCGCGGCAGCCGTGAGTTCCCTCCCACCCTAAGGGACGGCGAGGCAGAAAGGCGTCGCACCCCCCCACTCCCGAGAAAAAGAGGCCGAGCGAGGGGGTCGTGCAGCCGGGGGCCTGCTCTGAGACTTGGCTTGGGAGTCAGGACCCGTTCCGGCTCCCGGAGGCCACGCGCGCGCGCGAGGGCCGAGCCGCGGGGCCCGGCCCCGGGCGGGAAGGGAGCGATGAGGGGTGTGGTGCCCCCGCCCTCCCCCGAGGTCCTGAAGGGCCGCGGGGCGGAGGGCCGGCGGGGGGCGCGGTCAGGCCGGCCCCTGGCCGCCCCGCGGATCCTCGGGGCTGCTGTGGCTTGTGTTCTGGCTGTGCTGACTTCATAGCTGAGGCTCGAGGAGATGAAGTACAAGACTGTCCCTCACCTTTCCTGCTTCCAGGATGGAGAACGTTCTTTCAAGTCCATCCTCGGATAGCGGTCCGCCCACAGATCTTTCTTTAGCCCTGCTCCTGGTAGTGTTGGTTTCCAGCGTGGAAAGGCCCAGCAGTGGAACCTTAGTTTAGAAAAGTTCGGTTGATTCCTCTGATCTCCAGGAGAATCGGGCCCACTGAGAGAAGGTCCTTCCTGCGGGATAAATCACTAGAAAACCAGAGAGCTTCCCGGGTTTCCCCCGTGGCTCCAGCCTGTAATGCTAGATGGCTCGGGAGGCTGAGATCTGAGGATTGCAGTTGAAAGCCAGCCCGGACAGGAAAGTTCATGAGATTTGTATCTACAGTTAACTACCTAAAAACCAGAAGTGGTAGAACACTATCCTTGAGCAAAACAGCTCAGGGTCAGCACTTAGGGCACTGAGTTCAAGCATCAAGACTGGTACAAAAAAAAAAAAAAAAAAAGAAATGAAAAGAAAGAAGAAAGCCAGATCTTTGTTGGGATGCATCCAAAGTGTCCAAGTATCTCCTTAGGAGCAAATCTGTATATTTGAGGAAGAAATGGTGTTTCCCATAGTAAATAGCCAAAATTTAAGTAAGTGTTAGGTATTAGGAAAGCTAACAGTTATGTGTAGAATGTGGAACTCAGTTATCATTCTGGAAATGTTTTGGGCTGTTTTATGAGAATTTTGATTCATACCTCTTGGTACAGTTAGTTCCAGGTGTGACCTTTTTTAAGTGCTTGGTCGGTGAATTTATCTGAGTATTGCTTCTCCTTGATAGTTACTCAACATTTAACTGATTTAAGTAAAACAGCTTTACATTTCTAATTGGTTAAGTAAAACTATGTGTCTGAAAAAATTCAGGTCTCGTATTTATGTCAGAACAAGTTTTAAGTTTTGGAAAACATGTTTGACAATGTTAGAACTTCCCCTGTATTTAGGAATTGAATCCATAATCCCAGCTAATAAAAAGTCTTGCTGATGCAAATGTAACTGTAAGCCTATGTCTGTTGTTCTGGGAAATAATAACTCCCACTGCTACTATAATCTTTATCCCCCCCTTTTTTTTTTTTTTTTTTGGTCATGGGGCCTGAACTGTGGTCTGGGCACTGTCCCTCAGCTCTTCAGCTCAAGGCTAGCACTCTACCACTTGAGCCACAGTACCACTTTGGCTTTTTCTGCTTATGTGGTGCTGAGGAATCAAACCCAGGGCTTCATGCATGCAAGGCAAACACTTATCACTGAGCCACCTTCCCAACCTGTCTTTATCCCTTTTTTAAATAAAATATAATCTCTTATAAAGTTATGGAGAATAGCTACTGTTGATAACTGCTAGAATGAACAAAATGAGATGGTATTGAAAGTACAAACTCTGGTGCTGAAAGTGCTTGGTTACATAGGCAAATGTAGATGAAGAGTTAATTTCTAGAGATCTCCAGTAAAGTTTGGGAGGTTGTGGCTTGATTGATCTCACCCAGTTAGTTGGTGGAGGCATGGTGCTTCTCTCATGTATGATTATAAAAATCCCTTTCCAACCTAAGCATGTTCTACCACAGAAATCATAATTTTAAAATAAGCAAGTGCTGGAGGTTGAATTCAGGGCCTTGTGCATACAAGGCAAGCACACTACCACTGAACTACATCTCCAGTAACATTATTATTTTTTTTATTTAGTTTCGAAACGGGAAAACAGTTGCTAAGGAAACTTAAATGTCCCCTGTAAATCATTTTTTCAGCCAGCTGCCCTGTCTTCAGGAAGCCAAAACCCCAGAATCCTTAGTAAACTTCATAAACAGCCATTAAATACAAATTTCATTTCAATAAATACTTTAGTAATGAGCAGGAGACAATAGGGGATTGCAGCACTTCTA